TATTGAAGTGAATGGCAACTGAAACCGCTAATGCGGGATTTCACATTTTAACAGCGTGTTTTGAACTCACAGGCAGAATTATTGCAATTTAAAATGCCTGTATGTGAACAGAGTCTTAGGCTAGGTTCACACCTATGCAGTTTGCATTTGATCTGTTTCTGCATTGCGTTTTTGCACATGCGTTTGACGCATTTCACAGTTATTTGTTTCTAGGCAGATTTAAAACACAAAATGCATCAAAAACACGGCAAAAATGCACTACATGCTTTCCTGCAGCATTTGCATAGAAGTCTAGAGAACCAAAAACGCAACGTTTTGCATTCAAAAAAATTTCTGACCCTTTCCAAAACACGCACCGGGTGAAAATGCAGAGATGTGAACGTGTCCCATAGGAAATCATGCTGAATGGACTGTAGTGCGTTTCTGGAAACCGCTTAGGTGTGAACCTAGGGTTATTGAAACTGGAGCACTCAAAATCTGGTGCAGTTGCGTATGATAGCCAATCAGCTTATAACTTCAGCTTGTTCAATTAAGCTTTGACAATAAACCCTGGAAGCTGATTGGTTTCTATGTAGAGCTGTACCAGATTTAGTAAATTAACCCCAAAATGTCCGTTGGAATCTTACCAACCTCTTCAGTGCATTCTCTGTTGGAGTGTTTAAACAGCACATATTCAGCTTCCTAGCCAACAATCTAGATGTGGTTTGCTTACACACCATCAGTTCCACCTGTATCTCAGCCCCTGTGGTCTCTTGGCAGTATATAAAATTTGAAGGGGAATCATTTCCCTGCTGTTTTATAGTTTGGGTGCAACATACTTACTGTCCATAACTAGCTTGTGCAAAATGCATGTAATTTTCAGCTAAATATCCTGAATGCACACATGTAGAAAGATACATTTGTCTGCAAAAGTCTTTTTCAAATCTTGACATATTGTGTATAGCAATGCTGTTTATTGTACACATTTTGATTAGCCACTACACTTATTTCTGGTTCACACTGGTGTGAATTGAATTCACACCAGTAATCCCATCTAATGAATGTGAATGTCAGTGTCTTAACATGTGCGATTTGCTGCAGTGCGATTTCTAAAGTAGTCATTGCATTACTTTTTTTTTTTTTTACACAGTTTTGTTGTGATTTCACATACATAGAATATAATGGAAATCACACTGCAAACCGCAAGAAATCGTTGAAAATCTTCACAGGTAGCAATAAAGTCTTCAGAAATTGCACCGAAATTGCACACAAATCGCTCGATTTTAAAACGCAGCGGTGTGACTGGTGACTTAATGTTATCTACAGCTGTTAACATCAAAATTCTTATTAAAGTTATGCCTCATTTACACTATTGAGTTGTGGCAACACACATTACGCACATTGGTGGGACGATGTGCCTTTCATTCTGAATTGCAACTGAACATACCTTCTCAATGCATTTATGTTGCATCTTTTGAGTGCATTAGGAGCCCCTTTTCAGTTCAATGGGCTGCATTAATGTGCTTGTAGGCAGGTGCCGTCCCAGTTCTTCAGTGTAGGTGGTGCTCAGCGAAAGTGGCACTGTAGCTGGAGAGGATGCCTGGGTTTACCGTCGCTGCATGCGATCAACTCCATCTCCCCCAGTCCACCGTTCCTGCATTCCTTTTCACATTGAAAGTTTGATCAAATAAAACATACATATCTTAATTACTGGTCCTCTTCCCCATCTCAGCATTGGGTAGTAGGTGGTCTTTAGTGCTGCATGAAAAGGAGCTTGTGTTTTATGCAGCAATTCAATGTGAACTCAGGTTGCATGATGAAGCTAGTCCAGGAGTGTGCTAATGACATCCTGGGCTCACAGGAAAGGGCTGGATGTGCACTGCAGTGTGGAATAGGTAAGTAAAGCTATTTAAAATTTGTTTTATATATATATATATATATATATATATATACACACACAGACAGACAGGGTGGGGAAAATGGATTGAACACATATAAATAAAACCTGGCGTTTATAGATAGATGTTAATTCTGGATGGTGACAAAAGTCCTGATTTATTGAACTGTAAGACAACTCAAGTCAGAGCTTTATGATGTCAGCAGAAAAGCTTTCATTTATAGCCCTTCCTAGAGAAGTCTCCCTTTGGGTCTGACCTGCTGCTGCATTACTTTCACTTTTGCTTCTTTTAGAGACCCTGCTGCCAGACAATTTATCAATCTTCCTGTAGCACACTCTTAGTGCAGCTAGGGGGAGCTAGACTCTAATGGTTAGACAGGAGCTGGAAAGCAGTTCAGGTGTGATAGCCAGAGGGGCCAAATTGTGGACAGACCAGAGAGACTCTGCAGCCCAGCCCATGTGGAATTTCCGCCTACTTTGAGGCTTTTGAAGGAGGGCCTTGGAGCCAGTGGGTAGATTCGAAGAATGGCTGGTTGTACTCTTGAGGGACCTCGGCCAATCCCCAACAGAAGGCTTGGCAAGGGGCTGGGACTCCCTTAAAGTGTAAGAGCCTGCTCAGCAGCAGGAGTGTGAAGAGTCAGGTGGAAAAAGGAGTAGGAAGATGTGTGGCTGGAGGAGGGAGGCTTCCAGGAGGCCTAGTGGGATGGGGCCTGCCTGCAAGTCTGGAGCTGGAAAGGAGGAAAACTTGGGACTCACTGGCTCCTGAGAGAGGACAACCTGTATGGCAGGGAAGGATAGCCCAGCTGATAGGACTGGTAGCAGCAGCAATCCTGTAAGCAGTAAAGGAGAGGATCTGAGTGAGTACACCTCAGGGCGGATAGGGGAAGGAGCACTCTGGCGGGAAACCAGATTAGCCCCCTACTAGTGACTGTTCACCATTTAAAGGAACAGGAGCCAGACCCCTTGCTCAGGAAGAAAGTCCCCAGATTGCTGGATGAAGAGTTCATCTGGGGTCTGGGGTTTTACAACTTGGAACTGCTGGCTAGCACTCCACTAGAGATTGTGTTGCTGAAGAAGAGAAGTTTGTGAATAGTTCAGGAAGTTGTCCTCCGATATCGGTTTCACCCTTACCCTACCCAAGTTCTAATCCCCTCAAGAAAATAACAAAACAAATGCTGAAGGATTGATTTCTGTTTTCGGATGAGAGCTCATGTGGGAAATGCTAAATTACTGGCTGTGCAGTACTGGCTGTGCAGAACTATATAGGGGCCCAAGTTCATCAGCAAAAGGGGTAGTGCTAAATTCCCATAAAAATTATGTGTGTATATTTTAGGCATGTTATTTACAGTACCTGTAAAGCCTCTCCTGTGTAGACATCCAAAAGCCCCTTTATTGCTACTAGGTGCCGCTGCTTTTGATGTTGTGATATGGGGGTTGGTTTTCCTCAGAGACGTTTTTAAAGTCCATGTCAGTCAGAATTGTATTTAAGGGGACAGCAGACCACTTTTATTGAGTCGTAACACAAGGGTCCTCACGTAGCAGATTCAGCTTCACTCAAAAATGTAAATAGATAATGCAGAGCAACCAGGCTCTCCTGTCAGCAACACCGCTGCTCTCTCTGACCTCCCAGATGCTGGGTTCTTCAGGCACACTCAGCTTATGCTTGCACCACCTCATTGCACAGGGCCCACTCGTGGTCTCTGGATAGGGTTCTCCCACTCTTGAGACTTACAGATCCCCCTTCTGGACTCTCTAATTGTCTCAGCTCTCCCAGACCTCTGCTGACCAGCTTAGCTGTCCCAACTCTCCCAGTCTTGTGGGCAAGGGAATCTCTCCAACATGGAGTCTTTTCTCAGAAGTAGGTCACCTCTCTTGGCTGGAGCACACTTCTATCCTCACACAAAGTCTGTATTGGCTTTAAATGGCAGCAGCTGCCCTGATCTATCCTCAAACTTGGCTTATAAGGACCCTGTACACCTGTGCACTTACACAGGCTGCAATAGGAAGAAGGGTCAGCCACACACCGGAGGATAGATGAATATAGTGTGTATTTATTGATCCATAGGACACACAAAAAACTAGGACATGAATACAGGACCTGTTAACGCGTTTCACACGATCTCGTGCTTAATCATAACCAACTTACACAGGCTGCAGGTGTCTCGCATAGTCCAGACACAAGATTGAAGGTTCTATCCTGCCCAAGACACTTTAGAACCTTCCAAATCCAGGCCCTGATCCAGAACTACCAAGTCTGGAGAAAACCTACAACATAGTTTTCTCCACTCACAACACATGCTGGTGCTTCTCAAACTGATGAATTCCGGTGTCATGTCTACATCCTATTCCTAATCTTGCACTGTAGCAGGGCCTCACACTCTCACAATGTCATGTCAGCTGACTCAAAATTTACACTCTAGTATTCCCTTTCCCTTCGCCCTGGCAGCTGCATAAGAATTTATGTAGGGAGGTGAGGGGAAGGACAAAGGAGCTAGGCCAGCACAAAGCATAACTGGAGATGGCTGTTGTGCAATTGACTAGTCAATTTTTCTAGCAAGTGAAAGGCATGTTGCAAGTGAATAAAAAATTATTTATGAAAAGGAACATTCTGTAAGTAAGTATTTAAAATACTTGATTTTTCTGTTTTTAACTGCAATTGTTTAAAGTATAACTAAAGGCAAAACATTTTTTTATTTTGGGTAGACTAAGGGAGGGTAAAACCCATGTTTTTTGCCATCTCTGTCCTATTTGGAAGATTTCCCTTCACTTTCTGTCCCATAGTCAAAACAGGAAGAGAGAGTGAATCCCTCCACAGTGAGGGAATCCTGGGGTGTAACCAGAGTTAGCATCTCTTTTGAAATATTTTCCCTCTGTCCTTGTTCTTGTGACAAACCAAAATTTAGGATTTTGCTATATAAATGAAAAAATACCAACATTTGTGCAGAAATTCCGCCTTTTTCTGGTTTTTGTTAGGTTATTTATTTGCTAAATTTTATTTCTTCATAAATTTAGGGTAAAATGTATTCTGCTACATTTTTTGGTACCAATAACCCAGAACAGTGTATATTATTTAGTCTGTGGGAAAGTTATAGAGTCTACAAACTATGGTATATATTTTGAAAATTGATCAGGATGCTGGCATGAAGTATGGCGATAATCGGAATGCTTTTATGGGGTATGGCAGTGATCAGGGCAATGGTATGGGGTATGGCACTGCTCAGGATACTGGTATGGGGTATGGCAGTCATCAGAACACAGGTATGGCATATGGCGGTGATCAGGATGCTGGTATGGGGTATGGTGGTGATCAGGACACTGGTATGGGGTATGGCAGTGATCAGAACGCTGGTATGGGGTATGGCGGGGATCAGGACGCTGGTATGGGGTATGGAGGTGATCAGGACGCTGGTACGTGGTATGGCACTGATCAGGACGTTGGTATCTGGTATGGCGGTGATCAGGAGGCTGGTATGGGGTATGGCGGTGATCTTGAGGATGGTATGACGATGATCAGGAGGTTGGTATGGCAAATAGTGGTTATCTGGACTCTGGTGTGGTGGTGATCAGGACATTGGTATGATATATGGCGGTATAACTGTGAACAATGGTGACACTAAAACATGTGACGGACTGACTGCACTCTTTAATAGTACTGGGCAGTGATCAGAACACAGGTATGGCATATGGCGGTGATCAGGATGCTGGTATAGGGTATGGTGGTGATGAGGACACTGGTATAGGGTATGGCGGTGATGAGGACACTGGTATGGGGTATGGGCGGTGATCAGGACACTGGTATGGGGTATACCGGTGATCAGGACACTGGTATGGGGTATTTTGGTGATCAGGACACTGGTATGGGGTATTTTGGTGATCAGGACGCTGGTATGGGGTATGGCGGTGATCAGGACGCTGGTATGGGGTATGGTGGTGATCAGGACGTTAGTATTGGGTATGGCGATGATCAGCACGCTGGTATGGGGTATGGCATATGGCACTGATCAGGATGCTGGTATGGGTTATGGTGGTGAGCAGGATGCTTGTATGGGGTATGGCGGTGATCGGGATGCTGGTATAGGGTATGGCATGATCAGGACGTTGGTATTGGGTATGTCGGTGATCAGGACGCTGGTATGGGGTATGGCAGTGATCAGAGCACTGGTATGGCGTATGGCATATGGTGGTGATCAGGACACTGGTATGAGGTATGGTGGTGATCAAAATGCTGCCCCCGGGCAATAGGGGATCATGGGGCCCCTGTGTCCTTGCCCAAACTCAAAAAGCCTATGAAAAAGGTACCAGGCCCATCTCATGGGGCCCCCTACTGACCCCGGGCCCTCGGGCAGTGCCCGAGTTTCCAAATGGTCAGTCCACCCCTGCTCTGTCCAGACGACACAACGATCACAGAGCTCCTGGGTGCATGCTCTGTGAGCAGCTTCGATGCTGCTTAAGATTTGCCATTTATAGACTGTGGGCAGACAGGAAGTGGTTAAAAACAATGCATGGGCAGGTTATTGCATTAGGATGCCAGTTGTTTTCAGTAGCACCCCAATGCACCTCCAACACACATGAAGAAAGATAAAAAAAAAAGTTTAAAACAAGTAAATATGATATGCTTTCCTACCTATTTACTAATGCTAGCAGCATAAACATTAAAAATGGGCAATGCCATTTGAGAGAATGTATTTCTGCTTAAGGGCTTGTTTACACCAGAATTCTGCATGTGAAATTCGCTTTCGTTTCCGCACCGTGTTCAAAATGCACTGGATGTGTGATCTGCTGCTAATGACACCCCAACGTAGATTGCAAACGCAGTGTATTTGCCTGCACTGGATCGCATGATATTACATTACCATGTGCTCCAGCGCAGTGCGTTTTTGAAAAGTAGTGCATGCACTACTTTGGTGTGATCCAGTGTGTTTTCAGCCAAGTAAAAAAGGGGGAAGGGGGGCAAGGGAAAGCCGGGGAGTCCACCAAAATTAAATGTAGAGTGAGGTGCCTCCAGAAATATCTGGTAGGATGTTGCCTAAAATATACAAATTGAAAAACCAAAGAAAAAGAAAATAGGCTACACACCTAAAAGGCTAACCTCAAAAAACATGTTTATTATCTCATGAAACCATACAAGTAAAAATGCATTGCATCGGTGATCTGGAAACCATTCCTGCCCATGAAAACCCCCACCCCTAACATAGGGAAGACCTCCCACAATGGGCACTCTATAGATGGTGTGACGGACGTGGCGTCAGACCCCCGCCCTTCTCACCAACTCGTGACCGAAGGACTAGCCACTCTAAAACCGCGCTGTCACGTGCGTAACAATGCCACGCTCAGCTGCATCCTGCACAAAGTTTTTTCAGCTAATGGACTAAAATCTATGTACCGCAGCCTGAGAGCGATTGTTACTGGGTCAGGTTAATTACGCAATTAACCCTTCGTACTGCCACCACCACCTTTTTGTACAGAGTAGGAGGAAACTCGCCAATTTTAGCAGTAACACTATGATGTTTGAATAAGCATCTGTGTACACACTGTCACCACAGGCAGATGTATATAGAGGTTTGAAAACACACAGTAGCACTCTTCAGAGAAAGGGATTCTTAGTTTGCATTAAAGAGCTTTAGAAACAGTTCAACACTTTTCAGATAATAGGATTTATTACTAAAAAGGTCAAAAGGGTGCAATAAAAATATTTACAGAAAAAGATGTAGCCAATATACATATATATATATATATATCAATACAGAGAGCAATAACACAGCAAAGAGATAACAGAAAGAAGTTTAGAGAGGTAGAATACTTGCCGTCAGCCTTGGTTTAAGCAGATCAAGGTCCTGAACAAAAGGGTACTGTTCTCCCAAGTTGGTTCCTGATGTTAAAAAGGGAGAATTCTTCAACTTACTTCTCCAAGCCCGACAACCTCTTTTCTAGGAACTCAACAGGGTGTCTCCTTAAAGCAGAGGGGTGTTTAGGCGGGCAACTCAGGCTATGACCAAATCCCTCCCAAGTTATACCATGGTCAATAACCTTCCCTAGGTACATGTTGCAGCCTAGCCACTAGTAGATTAATATGCAGAATGATATCCTGAACGTCCAGACATCAAATATGTCATATCTTACTATTTCAGCAAGAACTATATGGCTTTCTACTCTCCTGTAAACTTTAACTAGGGGTGTAAGGTATCAGGTGACTTGTATTAAAGTGACCTCTTGGAATATATGCTTTGTTTCATTGTAAGTATTTCCTATCTTAACCCCTTCCCGCCGATGCCTCCTGGCCCTTTAAGAGATTCAGACGCCGGGAGGCGGGGAGGTTGGGGCGTGGTTTAGGAATCATGTGACCGCCGTGATGACGCGTCACAGCGGTCACATGATCGGGAAAGGTCCCGATCGAAAGAGCGGAACCGGGACCTTTCCGTGAGTACCACACATGTGTGCTGGGAGCACGCAGGGCGCGCGCTCTCAGCACATATGTATTTAGTTACATGGACGCAAATGTGCGGCCGCTCGGCGTCTAGGCCCAGACGCCGGGAGGCCGCACATTTGTGTGCGGCCGGCGCAAAGGGGTTAACATATGAAATTGTATGGAAAAGTGGTTTTAAATGGGATGTATGTTTTACTGCTATCTTGGAATGTCTTTCATGTCCAGTGAAGGACTGGTTTATAGCTTTACGATCATCTCCAAGCAAGAGTCTCACAGACATACTGGGCCCAGGCTAATTGGGGTTTATAACCATGAAGCTTTCCAGATGTACCTGATGGCTTGTGAACTCGGCATACACACAGACCACATTCCTGAGGGAGGGATTGGAGGGAGAGAGAATGATACAAGATGGAGGATTTTTAGCAAGATGGATGACCGCATCTATCTCTGTACGTACAATTGCTACAGATGGTACCAAAGAAAAGTGTCCAATGTACCCCAGTATATACACAGCACCCATCTCTGTACGTACAATTGCTACAGATGGTACCAAAGAAAAGTGTCCAATGTACCCCAGTATATACAGAGCACCCGCACCTCCCCTACAGGCCAACCCCCCTCCCGCAAAACCACAACCACCTCTCAACAATCCCCCAGAAAAATCCCACAATATGCCTCCCAAGGTACCCCAACAATCCTCCCGCAAACACCCTCCTTGACCCACCCACCCAACGACAACCACCTCCCTCCCAAAAAGGAAAGAAGGGTGCTGAGGCGTTTTCAGCCAATTCAAATGCATGGACTGCAACTGAATTACACAGGTATTACACAGGAGCGTGGACTGCATTCCTGTGCAATTCTTAATGCACCAGAACAACAAATTATCCCAATAGCTTTTTTTAATCAATGCCAAAATGACCTTTGGTTGCAAAGGCTCAAGGATTTTCATCTTCATGCATTGCCTTTAATATCACTTTAAGCGATATTATCACAAGTCATTACTTTTCTTTAGAGGTCACTTTATTATATTCTAAAGGGAATGTAGAGTGACTTTATATATATACACACACACACACACACACACATATATATATATATATATATATATATATATATATATATATATATATATATATATATATATATATTCTTTACTTGTTTATTTGTCATAGAATAAGTGAAACTACAAATGTCAAATATATATATATTTAGATTTTATTTAGGTAAACCTAAACTATTGCCTATAAATGTTAAATATTCTTATTGTACATATATGCAGTCAGTCTTTTCACACATTTTCCTCTGTACCACTTCTTGTAAAAAGCCTGTTGTTTATAGTCCTCAGCAGTGTAAGCTAAACTATATCTATAATTATTAACTAATTCATAAATAGTGCAGCGCTCATTCAAAAATAATAAAAATAATCAATACTAAACCACTGGGTGTAATAAATATACTAAAAAGTGCAAAGATGATAAAGTGTCAAAATAAATAATGCAAATATGCATATAAATATAATGTGCCACTAATAAAAAGTGACTCATAAGCCGTGCCCACACACTATAAATGATGCAAACCCCCTTCAAATAAAAGGGGTAAACAAAAAGTGCTTAAGTGCAATAAAGTGTCCACACTTCAAATAACACTCAAATAATCAAAACGTCCATAAAACAATGGATAAGTGATGTATAAATTCATGCATGTGCAATAGTGCTGGTAATTCCATGATCGTGTCAACACTCTTCTTCTTTTACGGCTAGATTGCCTCCTCACCTCCTCCAGGTGACCCCCAGGGGCCAAACAGCTTTCAGGATGAACCTGGATCCTTAATCATAAAGGCTGGTAACCATCATCATGCAGTGGATTTCCTATGGGGCTCCCGTTGCCCCAGACCGAAAGCTTCTAAAGAACAATAGCTCACCAGACCAGTGAGCCAGAAAAGAGATCCTCTAAGTGTAGTATTAACTTTAACGAAGACTCCTTTATTATAAACAGAAGAATGCCACTCACATACGCCAATATGCAGCTTCCGGTGCACGGTGACGCACTTCTGGCGTTCGTCGCCATCTTGTTATACCCAGGAAGTCCCACACACATGCAGTACACCCACACATCGGTGAGGAGGGGGAACTGCTGGAACATGTGAGTGGCATTCTTCTTTTTATAATAAAGGAGTCTTGGTTAAAGTTATACTACACTTAGAGGATCTTTTTTTTTGGCTTTTAAAGTGCATTATTTATTTTTGGCACTTTATCATTTTTGCACTTTTTAGTATATATTTATTACACCCAGTGGTTTAGTATTGATTATTATTATTATTTTTGAATGAGCGCTACACTATTTATGAATTATTTAATACTGTTTAGGTATCAGTTTTGAGTGTTGGCAGCTTCAAGTGAGGTTCCACTTCCTTTTTAGCGCAGGAGGACCTTGGTTCCTATTTATATCTATAATTGTGATACACAGATATGATAACGCTAAAAGCTGCGCCCTAAAAAAAAAAAGGCAGAC